AATTAATTAATTAATTAATTAATTAATTAAAATATTCAAGACTTTTGGTTTTCCCCCTTTTCCTTCTAAAATTTACTAAATCTGTTTAGTAATGTATACTAAGCAAGGAAGGAATTCTTTGGAAATGTGCAAACAATATTGTATAAAGTGTACATAGTTTGCTCTCCATGCATCCTGCTGCTGATAAATGTTATGGTTCCAATGTATTGTCACTGTTTCATGAACTTATTAAGACTCCAGATGGACGAATCTCCCTTTGATTTAAATGGGCTTAAGATATATCTAGCACTGTTAATATTAGTTCTATGGTGTCTATTTATCTGATTTTTTTTTAATCCATTCAATAGTGTCCAATTCTTGAAGACTGCCTGGACAAGTCCAAGCAATTTTCTTGGCAGAGTTTTTCAAAAGTGGTTTGCCAATGCTTCCTTCCTAGGGCTGAGAGAAAATGACTGGCAAGGTCACCCAGCTGGCTTTGTGCCTAAGGCAGGAGTAGAATTCACAGTCTCCCGGTTTCTAGCCTGATGCCTTAACCCCTACAGCAATCTGGCTCTATTTATCTGATGTAGCCCATACTAAACTTAATGAGACTTACAGCTAAATAGATACATATAGGATTACTTAGTTCATCTGGACTGCAATAAAAATACAAAATTGAAATTGCTGTGAGAAGACCATTTCTTCTATCTAGTTAGAGCTGTGGCATCCTTTCGTGTAACGTGAATTTTCACAAAAGGAATATTGATACTGGTGTTTGAATGAATGTCATACATCTTTAGATATCCAGAAATTGCTGTTTTAAAGAATATTATATGGAAGTGTGAATATAGTTCAAGGTTTAGTTTTATACAACAATTCAAACAGAAGTTCTTCTGGAGTGAAGTGTTCAAGGGTATTAGGGAAAAGAAAAATCTTTATATCTGCATCAGTTTCATGATGTCATAATAGAATATATGAAGCTTTTTACTAAACTGTATTTCTGTTTATTAAATTTATAGACCATCTTCCTTCCATTAATGAACTCATCCTGGTAGACATAGTATGTCCACGTTGGTCTCCCAGATAAGCAATGAGTTCAGATATGAGATGTTTAGCTTCAGAAGGATAAGTATGATTATTCTTTCAGAACAAAAGGAAAATTAGATCAGAAAATGTATTTAGAGAAACTCTTGTTTATAAGGTAGAGAAATTCCCTTTCATACTAGGCTTTAGGCTAGTAACTTTAGGCTTGTTGAATTATTTAACTATCTTCTCCTTCCTACGTGCTCCATTATTCTCAATCATTGGAAACATTGTTTTTATAAAACAATGAGTTTTGAAATGTCACCTATTAGAATAGTAATGAATGTTCTTACTATTGAAAGAACTAATGTTTCAGTACAGATATGTTAAGCACATATCAGCAGGATTTATACAGGCTAGTTCTCATCAGTCAACATTAAAATCTAAATTCAGTGGGCTTATTTTCAGCTAAATATATAAAGAATAGCAACCTTAGTAGTTTTAAATTTCGCTGGGCTATATTCCTAGTTTCTTTATGTGGTATATTTTGAAAGTATAGTATTTAAATACACTTTAATAATCAGTTGATTCACTTTCAAATTCAAAGGAAAAAAATCTTCACTTGGACGTGATAAAATAAATTTTATTGATTGATTGATTGATTGATTGATTGATTGATTGATT